AAAATTAACAATGAAATTCTAGAACTGAACCAAGCTATTGAACAAATGGACTTAATAGATGTTTACAGAGTGTTCCACACCACAAAATCAGAATACACATTGTTTTCAGCTGCACATGGGTCATTCTCCAAAATAGATCACATGCTAGCTCATAGGACATCTGTATAATTTTTTAATGTAAATATAGTCTCTCACTCTAAATAAGCTTAGGAACCTCTGCAAAAGTTGAAGTAAGATACTATGGGTTATTACACTTATTGGGATGTCTTTGTAATAAACTTTTAGAAGGCAGAGATAATTTTTTTCAATATGGCTGTAACTGTGTGTCTGTCTTTCCAGCTGTTCCTTAAAAAAGGTATCATGGTTTGGTAATCTTTAAATCTTTGATATGTAGCACAGTTGACAACATATTAATAATAAATAATATTTAATACTTCCTAAGTGTTGTCCCTGTGACAGACACTGCTTTAAGAATTTTACATTTATCCTCACTTAATTACTATTTTGGAGACACAGTCCTCTGTAGTTGGTACTTGTTATTTCTATATTATAGCAGAGGAAACCGAAACACAAAAGCTAAGTACAGCGAGTCTCCCAATGACACAAATATAGCCACTATCAAAACTAAGATTATAAGCAATCTCTCTGAGCCTCAGCTCATTAGGTTTAGGTAGAATATTAATACTTATTGATTACTGAAATAATAAAACCAGTAGGAATATCTTCCAGTTTATGATATAAAACAAAATTATTACATTATTCTTGAATGGTATGATTTTCTTCCGTAAATATTTTATTTTATTTTTCATTTTTTAAATTTTGTGCGGTTTTTTGAGACAGGGTCTTGCTTTCTAGTTCAGGCTGGTCTTGTGCTCACTATGTAGCCCAGGGTAGCCTTGAACTCAAAGTGATCCTCCTGCCTCTGCCTCCCAAGTGCTGGGATTACAGGCATGGACCACTACACCTGGCTTCCGTGAATATTTTAAAGGCTATTTGACAATCTCACCTTTCTCTTTTTGTTCTGGATCATCTGTTTTTCTATTTGTTTCTGAAAATTAAAGACAAAACAAAGTAAATATTGTGCAGTCACCAGTCAATATCTCAAAATATATGACTATATTTAAACGAACTTCAATGAAATTAAGAAAAATATTTCTGGGCATATAATTCAATTTTCTTAAACCTTGAATTCTTTATGTATAAAGTTAATTACAAAGTAGCAAGATTTAGGCTCAATTGAATTAATTACTAGTAATTCTAAAATTTATAATTTTATAATTATGGAAGTCACTGAACAGTAACCAAGTGTCAGGCACCAGACTAAATGTTCCCAGTCTATAAGAGAATATTTTATTTTATATGAGAAACCCAAGGTATAAATAATTTAAAAGTAAAATAAATCAAAGATGATAGGAAATAGGAAGACAGACTCTGTGGATATGGCAAGGGGATCCAGGGATGGAGTGAGATAGGAAGGAGTGGTGAGGAAGGGAAAGTAAAAAAGATCAAGATGTGATATACTGTATAATCATTTGTACCAATAAATATATGTACCAATACTGCACAAGGAATATATCTATTTTGTATCACAAACATACTAAGAAAAAATTTTAAAAAACTAAATAAAAATAAAAGGAAGAATGACTGATGTATACCAACTTAAGTTTCTCTATGGACATAAAGGCAAACTAAGGTGTGGAAATGATATCATCAAAGCTTGTTCAATATTTTTATTGTATCCTAAAACCATAAGGTTACTATCATAATAGCATTGTGTGTATAAAGAAATGCAGCACGTCACCCTTTTGGGAATACTGCAAGCCCAAAGGACTTCACACATTCACATATGATCCATTGCAGGTGCCTGCACTGAATGAAGCACAGGTGTGCACTATCAGCTCACACACCAAGAGGCTCAACAGGTATCAGCCTCATACTGAGTTAATCGGTCAGTGTTTTTTCCACAAATGAGGCCTCCAAATGCATTGATACCCACTAGAAGCCTGGACTAGTCAAAGAACATCCACTCCTCACATGGAAGACAACAAACTAAGTTGACTGTGTGTTTATTACCTCATTTCTATACCTGTAACTTAATATCAGGCCTACTGTTTAACAAATAAAGGATCTAGTATATTCACAAGGTAGACCAGTTGGTTATAGTCCCAGTAGGTACTTATTTTGTCTTTAGGTCTTTTTACAAAGATACATATGTCAAGGGTACATTCACACAGGTCACTTGATTTGTTGGTACCAAGTTGCCCACATTTATCCACATGAAACATTTCAATTTGTAAAGTTAAAAAATAAATCTCATCCAGGCTCTGAGGCAGAAAAAACCTTTTTATAGGTCAAGTGGTTTTGATTCTTTGAGATGCTAGAAAAAAGGAAGAAAAGGGAACTTAAAATCTAATCTTATAACTAAGCACATCATTGCTCATGTATTCTTTTGTCTCCTGAGATGTGCACGGAAACTCTTTTTGTGCAAATAAGTTGAGGTGGAGAAACTACTATGTGTTTCCCAAAGCTGTCAAGGCCAACAGTTTAAATGCTTCCAGAGCATGATGTTCTTTCCACTGTGCCACTTCATACTTTCTTTCAAAGAGTAATGGAAGGATAGGGAAGTCTAAGTCTCAGCTTTTGTAAAGAGTAGCTTCCACAGAGTTGACCCCAACTTCACGTACCTCCTGGACATGCTACAAGAAGAACGCAGCATATGACATACAAGGGCTACGAAAAAAATATGGTATGTGCATAAATTAGTTTTTAAATTACAGTGAAAGAGGGCTGGGAATTTAGCTCAGTGCTGTTGCCGCCTGCCTCGGCAAGCACAAGGTCCTGAGTTCAATCCCCGGTACCGAGAAAAAAAAAAAAAGAAAAGAAAGTGACAAAATTACAGTGAAAGACACATTGCCATGAATCCCCTTCAAAAATTTCCCCTTACTTCACACTTATCCCATCATTCTTGCCACTTTCTGAAGCAAATCTGGAAGTCCTTTTGCTGTGAAATCTTTACAAGGTCCACAGTGAATGCTGCTGCTGAGTGCCATCCAATGGAAAGGCGGGCTCGTAAAAACATTAGCACGTCCTCACCTAGCTTACTTATCAGATTCGAGGCACTGAGTGACTTTTGGCTCTTCTACAAAGTCAAAATGGCCATGAAAGGTAAATATTTTGAATAAGGTCAGGTTATCAAGGCAGTCACAGTTGTGCAACTAAAAATACTCATGAAAGACTTCCAGAACGTCTTCAGAAGGTGCGGAAACAATGGCAAACATGTGTTCAATACCAGAGGGAGTATTCTGAGGGGGATTAATAGCAATGTGTCCTTCAATAATTTTTAAAAATTTAAACATTCACTGTATATTGTGATTATATTTCATATATATGTATATGATATATATCTACATAAAGGATTTGTTGATCTCTGCTGAATGTTCAAAACTTTGGGATTTTCCATTTTATTAACTATAACCTTATAAAATAGGGTAGCTGAACTAGATTAAACAATACCATTTGGTCAATATATATTAACCAAACACCTAATATGTACCTGGAACAGCAAGTAATAGACATTAGGGACACAGCAAGGAAGAAAAGTATTAACAATCTTATTCCTGAAGGGGCTTTTTTAATGGGGTTATTACTACCGTCAGAAAGTGTGCAACCCTCCACATCCCTCAGTAATCACACGGAGCTAATGCAACTTGAAAAAAATCAATTATACAATGTGAGTTTCTAAACTGACTAGATAGAACAGGTGCGTGCTGGTCATGAAGAAAGTTTAGGGCTTTTCACAGATTTTCCCACTCCTGGGGATAAAGGGGGACAAAGGAGGAATGGTTTGCACTGGTCATGTCCCAAATAGAAGTGGAAGACACTGACCCTAAGGCAGAGGCCCTGCACCCTCTTCCCTGCAGGAACTCAGGGAGTATGGTTGGATCTACTCCCAGAAACAAGGGCCTCTTCCTTTCTTCTCCCGCACAGTACCTAGGAGAGCATGAGAACAGCCCAAATCACTCCAGGCCTAGGACAAAAGCTCTCTCTTGTTCTCATTACTGGGTGTCCCCTTCTGGAAGCCAAGTGTAAAGGCTGAGGCCTGAGTTGAACTCTCCTTGAAGTACTAGGGAGGAGAGAAAGTTGTCTCTCCCTCAGGTTGTCTGCTAGCATGCCAGCACCAGCAAGTTTCAAGGAGTCAACTACAGTTAAGTCCGGTTAAAGAAAATATACATTGGGGTGCAGTCTGTAAATTATGAGAACTTGAAGAACTCTCCCCTAAACCTAGATCACATGCTTGCTTGCTTCTTTGTGCAAATCTAATAAAAGTGAGGAGTACCACCAGCTAGGGGCTCTGTTGTCCACTAGAGGCAAGAGTCCCCTGGTTCTCCCCTTCCAAGTTATCTTTGTGTCTGTTGTCTTTAATCCTAGTTCATCCCTTGGGTTGGGATTAACTCATAGAGTGGTTCCTACAATTTTGACCTTTTTTGGTTTTCAGTGCTCAACTTTAGTTTAGGCAAAGGACTTTTGTATAAAATCTAGCTTAACTCACTGCATCCTGCGCAGCTAATAAAGTAATATTATATTCTTGGTACTTGGACTTCACTGTGCTGAAGAAGAAAATGATTTGTTGAGCACTCAGTGGATGCCAGGCATTGTTCTAAGCAATTAATGCAGATTAACCCATTTAACCTTCTCATGAGCCATCCAGGCAGTTATAATTATATGGATAAGGAAACTGAGGCAGAGTAGCTAAGGATTTTTCCCAAGGTTACAGAACAAAAAGGACTGATATCAGAGGCCATAACCCATATCAATGCCATTGTAAACACAGTACATCATAACAATGAGCAGTTCACTAAGGGAGCTAAATGCTCACCCTATCCCTGAAAACTGCAAAAGTACAAATTCACTTATAACTCATATTTAATGTTTACTTATAGCCAAAAAGGAAAAAAAGTTACACGTTCTTTTTCTATATTAACATAACTCATTTTTCCACTTTCAACACTATTTCATCAGAGCAAGGAAAATCTTACTAAAAAGATTGGAATCTTGATTTTTTAAAAAAAAGTCTCATGCTTCAGTTGTAAAGAATAATGTCATTTTCAGGAAAAGGGATGGAACTGGAGATCATCATGTTAAGTAAAATAAGTCAGACTCATGACAAGTACTGGATGTTTCTCCTAATATGTGGAATGTTAAAAAACAATTCACACGAAGTAGAGGAGAGATTATTACTGGATAAAAGAGAAATCAGAGGAGGAGGAAGAGTGAGAGGGAGATGGAAAAACCCGGCCAGGCCTGGTGGCGTATGCCTGTAATCCCAGCACTCAGGAGGCAGGACTGCCACTAGTTCAAGGCCAACCTGGGCTACATACTGAGTTTGAGGCCAGCCTGAACTACACAGTGAGACCCTTTCTCAAACAAAACAAAAACAAAACACCTGTCAAGCAGTCATTAAAAAGAGTGTCACTTTTCTGGATTTAGATACAGTGTATCTTACAAAGTTCCAGGTAATGTGTTCATCTGCCTACCCAGCACAGCCGAAAGCTAATTTGCACCCAGGCTTATTGGCCCTGTCAGTGCCTCATCATGAGCACCTATTATGCTCAAGACCAAGCCTGGCTCTGCTTCCTCCCTAAACACCCACCTTGCACACTTTCCGGGCCACACCCTGCCATGCTGCTCTATCTGTCTGCTGGCCATTTCCTTATCTCAGCCCTCAGCACCACCACAGACCACCAGCCAGTTTCTTAACTGGTCTTCTGCACACTGTGTGCCTCTCCCATGGCTTCTACCTTCCACAAGCTGCCTGGAATACAGGAATACTCCACAGGTTGGCAGGAGTTTCCACCTCTTCAATTCTCAACTTACCCATCTGTAAGCTGGGATAACATCCAGCTGCTGAGAAAAATTCAACTTCCAAATATATTAAATATCATCAGAGTTAGGTACACTCAATCAAAGGAGGTCTGCTTATCCAAAAACCATTTTTATTGGGTTTTTTTTTTTTCCTGGATATTTTAGAGGTAAAAACAATTCTTTCTA